AGAGCGAGAGTGCGTTGCGGGAGTGGGGGTGTCGGCGATAGCGAGAAGGAGGGACACCAGCCGTCCTCACCAGCACGCAGTTACACCATCTTCATTCCAGGTCCTCGCCAAAAGTGTTACAACATTCAAACACTCCTGTCCATGCCAAGGGGCGTTACAACCTTGTAACCCACTCTGAAGGCCTCTCCTGCGTCCACACGGTGGTCTGTGTCCACCATGTGCGCGAGGATAGAGCTGTTGATCTTCTTTATTTGACCCTTTCCTAACCATGCTGGTAGATGTTCTTTTATTCTTTTGGGTAAACGACGGCTCGTGCGACAAATATATTCTGCCCCACAGGAGCAGGTGAAGGAGTAAATACATATAGAGGTGGTCTGAGGTTTGTAGTTTTTCCTTGCCATCTCCGTATAAGATGGGACTGGTTGGCAGCTGCTGGAAAGGTCCGTGATACAGCTTGAAGTAGGCATCTTCTTAAAAGTCCACCTGGTGCATCCCCTTGAAATGATACTCTGATGAAGAGCCTTTTCTTTCCTGCCGTCAGTATCGGCCACTTTTGTGGTCTTTCGGACATGTTCTTAGCAATGAATCGATTAGGATACCCGTTCTGACGAAAAAAAGCTTTCGATGATTCTAGGCTCTTTCTTAACGCTATCAGCTGAGCAGATTCTTCTCACTCTTTCTGTCAAACAGCGGACTAAATTAATTTTAACTTTTAGCGGTACGAAGCTCCCAAAATGGATGTATTGTCCGCACCACTTTTTCTTATTATAGACGCTCCGTCGAATGTTGCCGTCACGCCTTCTACTCAGAATTACATCCAGAAATGAGAGTGTACCGGACTGTTCTTCCTCCAGAGTGAATTTAATTGATGGGTGCACCTGATTTATGTTATCCAGTAGAGCTGAATGTCACTTTGTTTCGGTGCAATTAAGAATATATCATCCACGTACCGCTCACAGTATCTTAAACCGTTGATCTGGTGACGTAGCTGGAAAGCTTCTAACTTTCCTATGAACATATTCGCCAAAAGTGGGCCAAGGGCGAACCCATGGCTACGCCGTCCATCTGCCTACATAGATTGCTGTCGAATAGGAACTGCACTTTCAAGATACACCTCAATAACAATTCCTTGAGGGCGTTTGCTGTCATTCCTATATCCTGTTGATTGTCAGCAATAAAATCACAAAGTCAGTTGACCCTTTCCGTTACCGGTACGTTCGTAAAAAGGGATGAGACATTCAACGAAAACATGACCATTTCGTTCAGATCGAGGTCTTTCACGCCGTTAATGAATCCAAAGATATCTCGATAGCTATGTGGCGCTAGTTGATAGTGCAGAGGCTTAAGTTTCTCTGCCAGTCATTAAGCTACTGCATGGTACGGCGAGTTCCTCATATCGAGGATTGGACGAACCGGTGCGCCATCTTTGTGGATCTTCGGCAAGCCACATAATCGAGGTATATGCGTACCGACGGGCCGGAGGCGCTCTACGTCGTGTTCGCTTATGCAACCATCCGACTGAAGTCTTTTCAAACAGTCAGTCAGCTTCAATCTCACCTGTACGGTCCTTCTCCTTCTCTGTCTTTCTGAACTTCTCCTGATCCCATAGAATTGACTGTACTTTTGTAATATAGTCTAACCTGTCCATTAAAACAACACCAGTTTCCTTATCTGGCCAGTTATCAGAACGTCTTTGTTCTGCCGGAGTTGTTTTAACTTCTCCATGTGTGACTTCGTCAGCAATCCCTGCCTTCAAATTCAAGCGACGGCGGTTGCCTCAGAGTCGTGGGAGAGGTTACCACTTGTATTAACTGGCGTGGAATTACTGACAGTTTATGAATTTACAACGGTTTTCTACGAAAAATATTCTCATATTAAGATTATTCTCATTTATTTAATTGACCAGCCACCAGTCCACAGAAGAAGCTGTGATCATTTACTTTTTCATTTGGCCTTTCATTAACGCAGTGCGAACTATCTGCCTAAGAAAAGCCGCCTCAACTGCATTGGTTATGCTGCCCTATTGCTACCTCAGCAGCCTTGTCGAAGACTGCCTCGGACTCTCAGAACGCGCAACAGTGCGCATTTCTCTTGTGGGGAGGATAACGAGGAAATTCCGCTTCCCTGCCTTCTACCCACGAACCCCCGAAGGTACCGCACATAAACTGACTCACCAGAGGCCAGTATTCTCCTTCCGCACAAGGTCACCTCCGGTGATGTATTCTTGTCACAAAGAAGGACAGGCTGACCTCATTCGCTGCATCTCACGTGCTACTTGATTCTGTGTGTTTCGGGCGTCTGGGTACTCGTAGTGACAAACACAAGCCAGAAGTCCGCCAGTGTGGCCCATTGCCGTTCGCCTCACTCGAAGGAAACTACTGCTTCAATCGCACGACACTGGGCTGATTGGCAAATTCAATACACAAAGGGTGAGGGGAAGTTCTCAAGGCTAATCATTCCCAGCGCAAACAGTATCCCCTGTCACACCGACTTGCATGCTCACTACGAGGGTTTGTGCGCATGACTCATTCAGCGTTCACATCAATCCTACATAGATAATTATTAAATATTATCCAGGTGTTGCTTTGCTCCCATCCTTCCTTACACCTTTGAAATCCACCAGTGTCATTCCCGCCGATTCTTTCCCTGCCTCCCTGTTTGACGGTTATACGCCGGCGATCGCCAGAGAGCATCAGCTACGAGCGATCTCCAGCAGACTGATGTCCACGTTTCTAAAGGTCGAACTTGCTTTTGAAACGGAGACCGATGGAGGTATATTATCCTTGCGTAAACTCTCAAATTGGATGACTACATTCAGCAGTACAACTGAAAAGGGCATGTAGAGAAATCATTCGGCATTATAAGAGCTACCATCCCAGCTCCTACAAAAGGAATCCCTAAAAAAGGATTCTATGCTGGGCCAACATCCACTGCATTTGTTCTCCCACAAGGCCTACTGTCTTGATTTTGTGTGCACATATCTTGCACAGCAAAAGTCCGAAGGAGGCCTCGCCATCATCAGTTTGCTTTGACCTAATTCTCGTTTAGGCAAGATCATATTTCGTAGGTTAGACACTTAGGGTTGAGGGTAAGGGATTGATGTTAGGGTTAGAGGTTAGGCTGAGGCTTGTCTACTGCAAATACGGCTACGAAATAAGAACCCACCCACGATTATATAAATGCTACATGCAGAAAAATGGCTGCACTCGCCTCGGTACACGGAGAGAGCCGAGTAAGTACGACGCTTCTCGACTCTCTGAGCTAAGTTCAAGGGAGGTAATAGTTGAGAGCAGGGTGGTGTCAGCAATGGCCTCATTACATGGACAGGGCCGGGGGAGTGCGATTGCCTCTCGACTGTCTGAGTTATGACCAATGGGTGCACACCTATTCTGACCTAAGTTCAAGGCAAGAAAATGCGTACTGTAGGGCAGCATCCACATTCGCCTCGATACCGGTAGGGAACCGAAGTGTTACGATCGCTTCTTGACTCTGAAATGGTTTGAAGAAATGTAATAGCTGAGAGCATTATAGTGTGTACACGTGCCTCGTCACACGGAGCGTCCAATAAAGAAATAAGTATAGCTACTGAAACGAGTGCAGTAAAAGGTTCTGCGTAGGATAGTTCGCTTGGAGTCCAACAACCCACCATTACTGAGTTCGGTTGTGAAGGCTTAGTAAATGTAATATGAGGCAACACCCCATTAAGAGCAGTTACGATACTTTTCTTTCGGGTCAGGGTTGGATTCGGCTTGTGAATCACATCATCCTGACGACATGCCTCATATGACTCCGTTTAAATGGGAGAGCCATCGGTCTGGTTGATGTAGAAAAATTTGCGAACATGCTAGGAGGGCCACCAGGAAAGTTAGAAACTATAGCTGGGACTGCTGTTAATTTGGAGGCAGAGGAAGGCGTTAAGTTGCTTGAGAAAGAGGGAGAAGAAGCGGTTCGAAACTAGCTCGTCGGTAGTTCAACCCCCGAGGTCAGAGCAGGGAGGAGAAGACCTTTCACGTGTATCTCCCGTGTGATCGAGTCCGCTAGCCACTGGGGTCGCCCTACGACGGCCTCATCCGGGTGACCTCTCGTCGGATGAAGAAATTCCGCATTCAACGTGGAACTCGCAGGAAGTCGTGAGCGTTGACCGTCTCAAAACTGTCGTCCCGGACACTCCTCCGGATGAGTGCCGTGGTCCTTTACTCCCTGCTCCACCTTCACGATCCCCTATCCTTTAGTTCCGTATACTCTCTCCGCGCATACGTTAGCTGATCGCAAGGGCAACTACAGCCTCATCAATTACCCAACACTGTAACCGCGAGCTCTACACACTCTTCACTTAACATTCCCGCCCCTTCTTTCCCTGCCTCCATGCGTATGTTGTGTTTGTAGATTATAAACTGGTGATAGCCAAAGAGCCTTAGTTATGAGCGATCTCCAGCAGGCTAAAGTCCACTTTTCTAGAAATCGAACTTACTTCTGAAACGTAGACCGATAGAGGTAGTCTATCCATGCGTACAATCTCACATCACAAGAATACATTCAACAGTACGACCGAAAAGGGCATATTGAGAAGTCATCCGTCATCATAAGATCTACCATCCCAGCTCCCACAAAAGAAATCCCTATAAGAACATACTACATTGGGCCACAATTCACTGCACTTGGTCTCCCACAAGACCTACTCTCCTGATTTTGTGTCTCAATATCTGACACAGCAACAGTCCGAAGGAGGTGTTATTTCCTGCAGCCAGCCTGAACGATGTGACGACGATGGATCAGGAAGCTGCATTGGCTTGGACAAGGAAACATCGATAACACTCGAAAATGTGGCAGTGCGGATCGATTCTGGTCTGATACTGCCAACAGGAGAGCGAATCTTACGTTGCATCGTTACATACCCATAGGATCCCTTCCTCGAAAAGAAACTCCAGAACTCTGACCTCATAGATTGGACATGGTCTCCATTACATCTGGCCGCCAGACAGTCAAAACTGAGCCTTCGCATGGTCACCCACAGTCCAGCCAACTTCAGGGCAACTTGTATAATCCAAGGGGGTCCGAATGATACCTACATCATTAATACCACCAACGTCGGCACTATAGAGCACGGCCCCCTGATCGTCTATTCTATCATCGGAGACTCACAACAACATGACACCACTCATCTGCTTGAAACCTACCTAGGCGCATCTGTCAAGTGTGCAACCACTGTTAAACCACCAATTTCTAAGTATTATGAAGTTCGTTGTATTGCCCTTGATCCAGATAGTTCTCGCTTTCTTCGTGCAGGCCTAACGACGCAACTTGTCGAAGCCAACGACACAATGATTTCCACGACACTCTGTTTTGATGCAGATACTGCGCTCGGCAACTATGAATTAATCTGCAGTTTTCATCAGATCCACCAACGTCAGACTCTGCTAGACACGCGCATCAGCCAGTCCATAGCTCAGGTGACACTACGACTTCGCTTGAATCTGGTGGAGGAATTTAAGCTGCATCCGGAACAATCAACTTACTTGACCACCGATTCCATTGTACTGTGTCAAGTCCGTTCGCCACTCAATCCTAAGCCAATTCTCATGGCTACCGGAGGATTTGCAGTCCCAAAGCAGCTCCCTAACCCTTTCAAGATTAGCGAAGCGAACACGCGACAAGGACCCCTCGTGGTGTCCTGTACGGCTCAACGTGATCAAAAGGGGGAACCTCCGTTTGCGACGCAGCTACACCATCTTCTTTAGGACACCCACCACATCCGGCTTAGCACTGACCCATAAATTTGCCAGTTGCAGTCCACAACTGAAGATTGGGAGGTCGACCTACCTGTGGTACATACGTCAACACGAAGGCAACGACTCTCGTCTACGTGTATTGCCCTATGTCACACCTGACGTGGTTCTCTCGAAGGTCATCGGACGGTGGGGTGTGGATGAGCAAAACCTGACTCTCGGCTGTACTGTCACCTCCAGTCACTGGAATGCGGAACTGGTGCACATATGTGAGCAGACGATTAAAGTTAAGCAAACAATGCAAGACAGTATCGTTCTCATATTTTACAACAAACTAATGAACAATGCAATCGTCTTCTTCTTCCTTCAATTGGTCTTCCTGTTCGGAGTATTTGCTCAGTTCATGTTGCTCAGCATGCCTCACCAGCTGAGCGCTGACCACACCGCGGTAAGACTGATTGCACGGCGAAGGGCATACTTGGCTCTACAGGAACAACGGGAAATGAAGCGAATGAGATTGAGTAGTCGGAAAGTTGACTGACGTGCGTTCCTCCGAAGCTCGTGCCTTATGTTCATTCTGAATTCTCTGTACAGGAGTGTTGAGTGCGGACGCCCACATTAACTTAAAATATAATTTTTGCTTTGATTTGCACCTCTTCTATTTTGCAAAATCGTTTTTAGAATTGTGAAAATCCGCATATTCAGATGAAAATTTGGCGAGCGATCGTTGCTTTCGGTAACTTCTCGTCAGGCCAGTGCAGTTATATGGGACAGGGTACAGTGAGTGAAAAAAAAATCGATAAGTTCGTTTTTAAAATACAGGCTAGGCAAGAGCGGAATGGCGCAGAAAGTTGTAAGTGGTTATTCAGCCTTTTACCACAGTAAGCGCCGAGCCTGAACGAGGTTCCTCTTGTCGCATAGGGTAGGTTTTCGTAACCTGATGGCGGCCGCTTCTTTGGTTGCTAACAGGCACTGGCCCAGTAGCTTAGGTTAGCTTTAGGAGACCTTATTAATTTCACGAAATGCATCAGCGGGGTCCACACGATGCCCTATTTCCGCTGCGTGCGCAAGGATGGCGTTGTCCATTCTCCTAGTTTAATCTATTGTCAGCCATGCGGAAAGGTGCTCTCGTATTCTTTTGGAAAGTCGCCGACTCGTACGACCAAAATAACCTATCTACATGGGCAAGTGAATGAGTAGATGCTCGTTGAGGCGGTCTGAGGAAGCAGCCTATCCTTGTTTTCTCTACTTAAAATAGGGTTCGTAGAAAAGGATATGTGAACCCTTGCTGCTGGGAAGGTTCCCAAGACAGTTTGGTCAAAGCCTCATCTTAGGAGTTCACTTGCAGCGTCTCCTTGGAAACTGACTTTGAGGGAAAACGTTTTATTTTTGGCGGTCAACGTGGTGGGTTTTGCGGACCGTTCGGATGGTTTCGTACCTCATCAACACAAGGAACTGTCGATTAAGAGAGCAGCATCTTAGGCGCCCAACCCGAACACCATCGTATTCGACGAGCTCACTGCTTGCGAGTTTGGCGTACTTATTGCAAATGATATCATGGAAGCTCGCTGGGTTGCAAAAAGGGAAACGTCTCCCGTGAAAACATCACTGAGCTAGACACCGCTCAGATATTCACAGGGCAAAAGGACGGAGAATCGAAACAGTCAAGGCCGAATGCTACAAACACAACGGTCATCGGCTGATGAACAAGATTACTTTACTATGTCAGGAGACGTGCTGAGAAAAGCAAGTTTCCTAGGATGTCAAAAAATATAATTATCGTTCACATCTACAAGCTTCAAGGGGACTGTCGATTCTGTGACCGACGTAGAGGCATCTCCCATCCCAAAAATGCTCGCTGGGTTGCAAAAAAAAGAATTTTCCGTGAAAACATCACCGACCTTAACTTTGATTGGATATTCACAGGACAAAAGCACGGAGAATCGACGCAGTCACGGCCAAATTCTACAAACAAAACGGTCTGCGCCTGATGAACAAGCTTACTTCACACTACCAATAGAAGCGAAGAGACAAGGCCCAGCAAGCAGTCGCGAAGAACAAGATATGATCGATGGAGCAAACGATTTATTATCCTGACACTTCGAACCCATTCAGCAGGAATCCGAAACGTCAAACAAATAAAGCTATTCTCCGGGTGATTGTGGCTCCTTCTTCATTACTTCACTATGTCAGGAGACGTGCTGAGAAAAGCAAGTTTCCTAGGATGTCAAAAATATCATTATCGTTCACATCTACAAACTCAAAGGGAACTTACGATTCTGTAACCTAAGTGGAGATATCTTTCTGCCCAAAACTGCAGCGAATGTTTTCGCGCACATTCTCTTCGATCGTCTCCATAGACACTTAAATCAAGTACAGTAGTTGAATCGTCGTTTGGATACCGAAACAGCGCGACACCACTAATAAGCCTTTCGGTGACCGCAAACTTCTAAGGCGGCAAACATTTTCTCAGTATCCATCGAATGCAGCGTTCCCGAGAGCCGACTACCGCTGCACATGCAGTAGGGAGTTGACGGCACGCCCCAGCAGAGGCCTGTCTACCGCGTCAGCTACTGCATATAATCCCACAGCCAGACTGTTTACAGGCTCGGACGATAGACTGGAGGATGTGAGAGGGAGGTGAGAGAGAGAGCTAGAGAGAGAGAGGAGCAAACCTGGGGAATCTATCCACACGGCACACCAACGAACTCGCCACCAGAATAAATCTGACAGTGAACTTAAAGCCGAGGAATGAAAGGCTGCCAACAGACAAGATAGCTCGAATCTCGCAGTCAGTTCAGTGTGGGGGAATTGAGTGCAGCCGATACTCCGGGCCTTCACGCTGGCGAAATGAGCATTATCAAAGCAAATAAAACGCGCTTTGTGTTCCCGAATAAAATTCCACCTATTAGCGACACTCATGGAAATAAAACCTGGGAAACGTGCTGCCCTATGTATTTGAGAACATAAAAAACAGGGCTGAAGGCCTGATTCGGCATCCGAAACAGCTTTGGAAGTGTTGGTGCCTACATGCTTTTGATTTTGAGCGTTAGAATTTGAAGGGATTTTACGACGGCTGTTCAAACCGACTTCTGGCTGTCGTTGAGATCAGGTCTGCAAACCCTGTCAGACCCGCAGAATTGGATTCCTTACCGCTGTGGATATGTGGTCGCGTATCTTACCCCATTGGTCCTACATAGTGTGAAGTAGTGAACGCACTGCTTATTTCGAGACTCCCAGAAACTGAAAATCAGACGCACGTGTGGCTGTGCAATTGTGAAACCTGTCATTCTAATACACAAGTCAGAAGATGACTTTGATGCACCTCTAGTCTGTCGTGCCTGACTAAATAGTCCCTCGAGAAGGGACCATTAGACAGTGTGCAACTGGTTGAACGGGTCTTTAAGTACATCTCGTGGTCCCTTGTATACCATATGAGAAGGTAACTCGACGGACTGTTTAATCGCGGTCATCGCATTTTGTCGAAAGTGTTCAGATATGTAAAAGAGTCCTTGTCCGGCATCTTCTGTCGTGATTTCATCATAAACCTCGAACCGACGAAGGCATTTTCAATTGTGCGCAGACTTCCAATCAAAAGAGCTCAACCCCAACTTAGACAGTTCTAAACCGTCACTTCGGGAATCATATTGTTGGCTCTAGATGCCTCACTACACTTTTGTATGCACCAACCACATCCTTCGAGGGAATCATTTCTCCCTGCGCATTCTTCTAAATGACAGTTCGATCGTTGATTCCAATGATGTCCACCATGTGCTACACAGCAAGTTGCACCAGGTACGGTGACTTGCGTGTGAGTTAGTTTATAGTGATAATAGACTCGCGCATTACCCACCGCACTCCCTCCTCCCCCCTCCCTTACCTGGGTCCGGTGTCAAACAGAGTCAAGAAAACCGGGGCGAGGGATGGCGCAGGTGTCTGGCAAGACCAGATCTGCAACTAGGCGGGTCATCCCCCCTTCCTGGTATACAACATACACTTGACCAACAACAACAACAACAACGACATCCCAACAGGGGTCACAAGGACGAGGATCAGAAGAAGGAGCGATCGCTGGAACAATGGCTTTATTCACCTGACGTTTCGGATTCTCTCTTGAATCCATCATCAGAGAAAGTTGCAGAAAAGGGTGGCTGGTGTACAGGAAGTCGCAGAATTTATAGGATGCGGTCGCCATGCTACCGCATACCTACAGCAATTAACCGTGCTCCCTTCATCAAGGATTGTTGCCCGCTGGTGCGCTAATTGCTTGATGGCCGGCATGCAAGTTGTTAATT